TCCTGCTTATTCTTGCTTGCTTGGATGCCCATGGATCCATGGGGCAGGTGCAGTGACTTCTACACTACATCAAAAGTTGAAATATCCGTTCAAGGGGAAAATTGTCATTGTATGCGGAGAAGAAGAGTTTATGATCAGTCATCTAAATTCATTTAAGTATGTTGAAATGGATGGAGAGTTAATTGAAACTCCTTGTCAAGTATTTAAAGTGGTCTCTCCCATGGTTGATGTTTCCAAAGCCACTCCTAACACTCCCAAAGCTGTTAAAGATACACCGAGGATGGCTTCTCTCAAAGATGCCCGTGCTATTATTGAAGAAGGAGGTTGCACCATTTGGGGACAACTTCCTGATTTCCCTTTCAAGTCAGAAAAATTTGGATTGTGCTTTACTTCCAAAGCTCAAAAGGAGGTTCGACGTGCTTGCGTAGGGAAACCACCTCTCCGCATTAGTAACCATGAGGTTAATGCTCTTGAAAACTCTAATGATGATTGCGACCTTGATGACTGGATCTACCCGAATGCTGGTGGATGACTCAACAACAGGAAGACCAAGGACTTCATTCCCATCTCCGATAGCCAGGAGTAATTGCCATTTTTCTGTTTTTATTACTTTGAGAACTTTGTCTGTAATTTCCATTAAACAATGACTTCAAGCCAGGTTCCTTGCTCGGGGCACATGGGTCCATTTGTTAAGGGTTTGTCATTTTCATATGCCATATGATCATTTTAATGAAAAACATTGGACTATTTTGCATTCAAATTTTGCGCTCTTTGTATTTTTCTTACTTTATTGCATTTTCAAAATATTCATGTGACCTTACATGCACACACACATTTATAGATCCACATCCACTCCGGATCTCATTGACAATGATTCTGCTATTGTCGTCTATGATTTTGAACATCCAACCTATCAAGCCGAAGAAAAATGCGAGGAAGATTATGAAATACTTGGGGAACTCTCCAGACTTCTGATACAAGAGGAAAAGACCATTCAACCGCACGAAGAACCAGTTGAAGCGATTAACCTAGGTACTGAGGCAAACAAGAGGGAAGTCATGATCGACGCCAACTTGGAATATTGTGTCAAGAAAAGATTGGTCCAAATGTTGCACGACTATGTTGAACTGTTCGCTTTGTCATATGAAGATATGTTAGGGCTTGATACTGATATTGTAGTCCATCGTCTGCCAATGAAGGAAGGTTGTCCTTCGATCAAGCAAAAGGTTCGTCGCATGCGGCCAAATATGTCTGAGAAGATCAAAGCTGAGGTGATGGAGCAGTTCAATACATGCTTCCTAGCAGTGACATCATATCCCCAATGGGTTGCAAATGTAGTCCCAGTGCCGAAGAAATATGGAAAAGTACGTATGTGCATAGACTATAGGGATTTGAATTGGGCAAGCCCCAAGGATTGTTTACCGCTACCACATATTGATGTCTTAGTTGACAACACGTCTTAACACAAAGTCTTCTCCTTCATGGATGGTTTCTCCGGATACAATCATATCAAAATGGCACCCGAAGACATGGAGAAAACCACTTTTGTTACACAATGGGGCACCTTATGTTATAAGGTCATGCCTTTTGGTTTGAAGAATACAGGCGCAACCTATCAACAGGATATGGTAGCTCTATTTCATGATATGATTCATCATGAGATAAAAGTCTATGTTGATGACATGATTACAAGACCGCAAACTGAGGAACCACGCCTTAATCATCTTTACAAGTTGTTTGAGAGGTTGAAGAAATACAAGCTAAGGATGAATCCCAACAAATGCACCTTTGGGGTAAGGTCTGGAAAAATCCTAGGGTTTGTTGTCAGTGGAAAAGGTATCGAGGTTGACCCTGCAAAAGTCAAAGCCGTACAAGAATTGCCAGCTCCCTGTACTGAGAAGGAGGTCATAGGTTTCTTAGGCCGACTCAACTATATTGCCCGATTCATATCTCACTTAACTGCTACTTGTGAGCTAATCTTCAAAATATTGAAGAAAGATCAAGTAGTCAGATGGAATGACGACTGCCAAGCAGCTTTTGACAAAATCCAAGAGTACTTGCAAGAACCTCCAATCTTGATGCCTCCAATTGAAGGAAGACCTCTGATTATGTACTTGATTGTATTAGAGAATTCAATGGGGTGTGTGCTGGGTCAACATGACGAGTCTGGCTGAAAAGAGCATGCAATATACTACCTTAGCAAAAAGTTTACCGACTGTGAAACCAGATATTCACTGCTCGAGAAAACTTGTTGCGCTTTGGCATGGGTTGCTCACTGGCTAAGACAATATATGTTGACTCACACCACTCAATTGATTTCTAAGATAGATCCCATCAAGTATATCTTCAAGAAACCAACTCTCTCTGGACGAATAGCTAGATGGAAAATGATCTTGACTGAATATGACATCCAGTACACTACACAAAAAGCAATCAAGGGAAGTGAGCTGGAAGATCATTTGGCCCAACAAGTTATTGAGTACGACCAATCCATGAACCTTTAATTCCCGGACAAGAATATCATGCTGATAACTGATTGTGAAAAGCCTAGACTGTGTGAAGGACCTGGACAAGGATCCTGATGGACTATGGTTTTTGATAGATATTCCAACGATTTGGGTAACAGAATTGGTGTTGTGATCATTTCTCCCGAAGGTTGCCATACGCCTTTCACTGCCAGGTGTTGCACCCCAAAATTTTCCCTCATAATTTGTTTTATCTGGTTTAGGCTTATCATTGCATTTGCATATATTCCATTAGGTCATTAACATAGCATGTATTTTCATTCAATAAACACCTTGGTTCAAAAGGTCAGCGGTCATGCAAGCTAGGGTTTCTTTTGGTGTGAGGTGCACATATCCAATAAGTCTTTATTCTTCTCGTTTTTTAAGCATGGATTAGAGAATTAGGGTTTAAACCCTTGGTGCTTAAACTTAGCATTATTTCAACTAAAGATTCTGAGAGTTAGGGTTTGGTATTCATGGATATCCTGAGCATCCCTCGAGTTGATCTTCAAGTCTTATCCTCACCTTCAACGAATTTTAAGGGCGTTTCTTTTGTGATCTTTGGTCATCAAGAGTTGTGAAAGCCCAGGAATTGGTACAAAATAAGAAGCAAGAAATTACTTGTGATTGGGCATGTTCATAATTTCGTTTGCTTGTGGCTTGTCATGCAGGATGCTTTTGAGGCTTGAGATAAGGTTTTCATTTAATTAAGGATTAATTCACGTGATGATTCAAGTTTAAATTGGATGAATTTTTCAAAGTTGGATTAATGTGTGGCTGAAAGTTTTAAGTGGTTTTTTTTACATTCAAATGACAAAGGAATTGGTTCATCATCATTCATTCATTTTAAGCCTCAATTATTCGAGGTCTATTAAAATGAGATCCATGTTCTTAATGCATAAAATTTGGAGAAGGTCCATAAAAGTGGATTTTGTGGCAAGTATGATGCAAATTATAAGACCTTGTCTCGAAGTTCAAATCATCATCATACATATTGTTTCAAAACAAAAGAAAGAGTTATACTTTTTGGACAAAAAGATCGTGTGAAATATAAAGTTTTATCATTGATGACAAAAGGAAAATTGCAAACATACATGTTCAACGTTATTCAAATTTCATCAAATCCTTCAAACTTCATTCAAATTTTATACATAAAAATCACAGGTTCAATTAAATTACGTCAGAAAAAACTACAAAAATTCAATCTTATAAAAATGTATCCCAATTCCTTCCTCACAAGTTTTAAACCATGTGAAACCCCGTCGAATCTGTCTAATAACCATGCAGAAGCTTGTTCCAAAACTTTGTGCTAGCTTGAATTAAGCATCTCACAAAATCAGTTTTTTCAACCTGTTAAAGGTGTCCTGCTGTGAACTTTTAGCTCTGTACATCACAAAAAAACCCAGTTCAGTATCGATGCAAAAATAAAATCAAGGAAGCAATGCGATTCATGTTGGTTCAGGGAACCAAATCCATTCATTCATGTCAAACCAAAAGAAAAATGAGAAAATCAGACTTATGAGATAAAAGAGAACAAAATATCAGAAAAGGAATTTAGAAATTCCAACATATGTAACCGAATTTTTCAGCCAACCCTGTTTCAACATTTTCAAACCTACAAATGAAAAACCATATAACTTAGTTCAGCTACAAGATTAAAATCTATCAAAATCCTACCTTGCACTTCATGTACCCATTGACCATAACATAATTTCCTGACAGTGTACCCAACTTCCTAACAGAAAACAAAACTAACTCTCAATCTCTAACTAACAGAATATTTGTAACTAACCTAAAATTGTTTCTAACCAACAGAACTCTAACTTCTGAAACCAAAACTAGCTCCTATAACAAAATCTTATAACAAGATTATAACAGAAGCTTTTTCTAACTAACAGCCTAAGTCCCTAACTATTTTTCTCTAACAGTAACCAAATCTCTAACCGCATAACAGAAAACTAATTTTCTAACCTCATCCCAAACAGAATATTCAGAAACATAATTTTCCAGCTCATAAACATCTCTAACTTACTTCTAACAGCTCTAACTATATAACAGGAAACTCACCTTTATCACAGGAGGCTGGATTCATTCTTGATAGTTCACAGCAGAATCACAAAAAAATCACAGAAAAACTTTCTTTGAAACCTCTCTCCAAAGCTCTGCTTCCATTCTTCAATATTCTGCAGAACAATCACCAAAAGCTCCCTGGACCTCTCTCCATTCTGACACCTTCACCTATTAACTTCTTCAATCCCCATAGTCGTGATCAACTTTCGGCAACCTCAATCATCATCACCTTCGCTCTTTCTCGGCACTCCATAATATTCTTTATCATTTTCACGATTGCAGCACCACAAACTTCAATAATCATCACGCTCCATCAATAATCATCATCAACCTCCAAGGTTCTCTTCAACTTTGAATCTCTTGCATCATCATACACATCTTCATCAATTTTCAATCTTCTTCACGCAATATTCATATTCATAGAAATCATTCTTCAAGCTCCACCTTCAATAACTCCAACCTTCTACAAATAGGCACGGTTTTAGTATCAAGGGTGTCGATCAATTGCGCGACAATAATGACAACAAATTCGCACATTCCAAGCAACACCGAAGTACAGAGGAAGTAGTAAACTAAATCGGAGGAGTTTTTTGGAAAAGATGTAGTGATACCTGAGTATGGGGGTTCGTTGAAGTCTCCGGTCGCCATCACCGTCGAGGTAGGGTACGCATCATTCTTCATCCTTTTTGCAGTTTCTTGATGTTGGTCTGTAAAGGAGGACGTGTATGTTCTAAATCCCATGGAATCACACTCAAGAGTCTTTGCACCTTCATGTAATTCCATTTGCAATAAACCTAGGGTTCAAATTTATCATTTATGATTTAGGCCATTTTAGCAGAAATCGGTGGGGTCTGATGCTGGATATAGAACAAAGAGGTGAAAAAGTGGCGGTTGATGGTCACAAATCGGGTTTTCTGACGAGTGTAGGTGGGTGTCGCGGCGACCGCATTGGTGGAGACAAAGAAGCCGGGGAGTCACACATATTGTTGAGCCTAACACGTACTAACGACGTCGTTTCTCCAATCTTACTATTTCTTCTATTTATTGATATACATTTTTTATTGGTACTATATGATGCAAAATAATGCTAACAATAAGAAATTAAAGTTTGGATAGGTGATGCTTGGACTTGGGCCGAATTTTTTGTGCTTTGCTTAAGCCCGTTGGCACATTTTTGGTAGCTGGTTGCCTGGCACAAAAACCTGCTATTCGGACTTACAGAATGGGCCTAGGACTGTTTGCTATTTTACACACCTGAACCCAGCTTAGCACCCCCCTTGGACCTCTTTTTTCCTTTTTAGTAATTTCTTTCAAAAATTTTGTGAATTGGTTATTTTTTTTTAATTTTCTTTACATGATAAAAATAATAAAGTCAAGTATAAAAATTTGTTAGTTTTTTTATGTGATTTTAGGAATTAAATCCCGATTATCCGATTATATTTGAGATTGATAATTCACCTTTGCTTGTTGAGATTTGAGTCTTACGCAGGTTTATTGTGCGATATGCGGATGCGCTCGAGATTTGGATTGTGATTTATTTTCACATCGATGGTGCTTCGACATTTATCTTGAGCATTTAATTTCAGACTCTTTTCTTTGCTTGGTGGATCTTACTCAAAGTTTTTCGGGTTTCTTTGTTTTTGTAGGCTTTGCTACGGATTGATATTCGTTTGGTATTTTTCCTTGTTTATCTCATTTCAGAATTTTATCGCTTTCTAGAGATCATGTATAGTAGGGGAATTTATTGCTTTCTAGAAATCATGTGAAGTAGGAAGCAGGAAATAAAGAGCGTGCGCTCGAAGTCACTGTTTAAAGACATGTAGCAGGCATTCCGCACTTCATTTGCTATATGTGTTGTGCTTGTATTTGTTTCCTTAGTTGTTGATCGACGAGTCACTCAATTTAGGAATTGAGATCACGACTTCGCTCTCAGTGTATGCTCCCTATAGGATTTTATCGCTTTCCTTGATTTCTTGTTGATCGATGAGTCACTCAATTTAGAAATTGAGATCACGACTTCGCTCTCAGTGCATGTTCCCCGTAGGATAGTTTTGTTAACCTTTCTTTGGTATGCTAGCCTAGATAAGATCTCTCTAGGTGTGATCTTTTGAGCTTATTGGCTTGTTTGTTTGATTTCATCTTTGTGTGCCTATTTGGAGATGATATACCCTCGGCATGTTCCATTAGGAGCTCTCGATTCAACTATAGATGATGATTCGGGATAGACATAGTTTTAGGTGATAGACTCTAGCTATGCTCCTTTAGGACTTATTGATTCATCTATAGATGATGGTTTGAGATAGACATTAGGATTTTTATCCAAGCATGTCAACATAGGGTAGATGTTTCCCTTCAAAACTCCATAGGATCCACCATTGTATGATAACATTAAGGATAGATTTAGGTTAGTCTCCTTAGATGTTTTTTCTCTCTTTCACATCTTTGCATTAAGATAAAAACTCTTTTCTTGAAAAAATCTTAAAAAATATAACAATTTACAAATCCTTCTTTAAGGTTAAAGCTATCAACCAATGCAAACTCTTTTGCGCCTTCGGGATTTTCTTTAAAACTTTTCAGAAAGAACATGTTAGTTCACTTCTGTGCTGACGTGTGAGTCTCTAAAGGTCGAGTTGCGGCAGAAGGCGAAATTAATATTGTTCATTAAAAAAATACAAACCAACCAAAACTTTTGAAGCCTAACTACAGCTGCTCTGATTCCTTAAAAGGGATACGTAGGCATTGGGGTAGGGCCCGAGCGAGCACAAATTTTATTTTCCCTACATTCTTTTGTCCTTTCTTTTGTATGCATTCCCTGTACAACTTAGGTATAGATTCTTACACACCCATTAGATTAGAACAATATCAATGGATATCAAAGAGTACTACGTGCGTGTCGGGTGCTAATACCTTCCCCTCGCGTAACAGACACCCTTACCCATATCTTTTAGTCGTTCTACCTTAATTTCACCCTTCTCAGGTTTACTCGATGTTTACCTTTCCCCTCTTGTGGGATAAAAGACGTTTGATGGAGACTTCATTGATTTCATTATCAGTTGATTATTCATCCAGTTGTTTCATCGGGATGTGCTTCGATTGTACAAATAACATGGTCGAGTATGAAGCATGCATCTTGGGTCTTAAGGCTGCCATTGACCTAAGAATCAAACTCTTAAGCATATATGGAGATTCAGCCCTAGTAATCCGTCAAGTTAAAGGATAGTGGCATACTAAACATCCAAATCCGATCCCCTACAAAGAGCATGTGCTAACCTTGATCCCTTACTTCGAAGAGGTCACCTTTGAACACTTTCCAAGGGAAGAAAACCAGTTGGCAGATGCCTTAGCAACTATGTTGTATATGTTCAAGGTCAATTGGGATAACGAAGCTCCCAGAATTACCATCGAAAGACTTGACGAACCTGCACACTGTTATGAGATCGATACTGATGATGAGAAGCCTTGGTATCATGAAGTAAAGAGGTACCTTGAAGCACAAGAGTATCCTGAAGGAGCTTCGATAAACGACAAAAAATTCCTACGAAGGTTCTCAGTCAAATTCTTCCTAAGTAATGGGATCATGTACAAGCGCAACCATGATTCTACTCTGCTATGTTGTATGGACAAGAAGGAAGCAGAAAAGATCATGGAAGACATGCATGAAGGTATTTTCGAAACTCACTCTATCGGGCACACTATGGCCAAGAAGATTCTGAGGGCTGGTTACTATTGGTCGACTATGGAAACTGATTGTCACCATCACTCGAGGACTTGCCATAAATGTCAAATCTATGCTGACAAGGTTTATGTGCCTCCAATTCCTTTGAATGTCATGACTTCTCCATGGGCGTTTTCAATATGGGGCATTGACATGATCAGAGAGATCAAACCCACTGCCTCCAATAGACATTTTTTCATCCTCGTCTCCATTGACTACTTCACTAAATGGGTCAAAGCTGCTTCATTTGCCTCAATTACCAAGAATGTTGTAGCCTAGTTCATCAAACATAACCTCATCCATTAATATGGCATCCCTGAAAGGATCATCATCGATAACAGAACCAACCTGAACAATGCTATGATCACTGAACTCGACATGCAGTTCAAGATCAAGCACCACAATTCTTCTCCATACAGACCTAAGATGAATGGCACAGTGGAAGCCGCCAACAAAAACATAAAGAAGATTGTGTAAAATATGGTGGTGACCTATAAAGATTGGCATTAGATGTTACCTTTTGCTTTCCATGACTACCATACTTCGGCACGAACATCAACTAGGGTAACCCCATTCTCTTTAGTCCATGGCATGGAAGCTGTCCTGCATGTTGAATTTCAGATTCCTTCTCTAAGGATTATGAAAGAAGCAGGCTTAGGCGAAGATGAATGGATTCAGATAAGATTGGATCAGTTGAATTTGATCAATGAGAAGATATTGGCTGCTGTCTGTTATGGTCAAATATATTAAAAGCGTATGATTAAGGTGTTCAACAAAAAGATCAAACCTCAAGTATATCAGGTTGGTGACTTGGTAATAAGGTGCATCATTTTACCACAAGGCGATCCCAGGGCCAAATGGACTCCCACTTACAAAGGGCCATATGTTTCCAAGAAAGTATTCTCTGGCGGTGCAATGATGCTAACTATAGTGGTAGAAATGTAAAGACTAAGCCATCAGATTGACTTGACTTGCCCATATCAAAATAAAAATTGCCACCACACTTTATTGTTTCCAAAGGAATGGGAAAAGAGCTAATAACCCAAAAGAGGGGGGAAATATTTTAGGTAAGGGGGTTGGTTATGCAAAGGGAAGGTATTAGCACCCTAAAAATCTATGGTACTCCGCATGAACCTCTTTGTAAAATCTGTATGTTTTGGATATAAAATGTAGTATAAAAATAGATTGTGGGGATGTGAAAAGAAATATTTTTTATGATTTTTGCACCCGCCGCGGTTGCGAACCTTTAGTGCCTATGTACCACCTTTCGTGCAATAAGGGATCAGGGTACACATAGTTCCTCTTTAAAAGTTAAAAAAAAACAAAAGTGTGTTGGTTAATTTTAAGAGACAAGACATCATTGTCATTGTCCGTGTGGAAAACATACTTACTACCCATAATTATGAGAAAGAAGAATTTGCGTCATCTCAAAGTGGAGGGTATGGCTTGGATTTTAAAATCAACAATGCCTCACTCAACACCCAAGTGGAAAATATCTCACTTCACTATATATTGTAGAAGTATAGTTGTTTGCATCACTACAAGGATTGACAAGAGTCCAATCTTTTGAGAAAAGTTTTTAAAGGTAAAAGCCAAAATGGAAAAATAGTTTGAATGAGATTTATTGACTTTTAGTCTTCTCACAAAAATGTCAAGGTATTGTTATGTTAATTGAAATTTGATTAAGAAATAATTTTTAAAAATACATGGACATAAGCCCAAGTTTATTATGAATGTGGTTCATGTTTTTAAAACTAGAAGATTTTTCAAAAGGAGGGGGAAGATTTTTGAAATTAAAGAGGATGGGAGGAGATGAAGAGACTACCCTAAAGCATAAGTTAAAAGATAAGGAGAAGAGCCATCTAATCAAACAAGAAGCAAACACTTGACACAATGAGTCAATGTAAAATTTCATCCTTTGGATTCGAAACCAAGCAAACAACTGATAAACCTCTTAAGAATACCAAGCTTTAATTGCATTAAGTCTTCTCAAAAATTGGGTAGAGTAATAGTTATACACAGATGAATTCCAGATTACAGACAAAGTGTGTAATCACAATAACCTGCA